GTTTTATATTTAATTAAATATTTTTTTCAAGAGAATTATATTTATTATTAGTTTGTATTTTCAATATTATAAGAAAAAAATCCATGAAACATATATTATTCTATATTCCAAGCACATTTATAAGTAAAAACATAAATATAGATAACAATATTATATTATATTATATATATTAATATATGAAAAATATGAGGCCTTCTAGGATTGGGGGTCTTAGGCGATCATCTCACTTGCCTATACCTTAAGCATGCTTAACCAATAAATACGTACTTCAAAAAAATAGTTAAGGTGTGAAATCAAACATCAAAGTGATATATATGATTAGTATGTTTCATTAAACTCTTGCAATTATCACACTTTTATTTTAAAGGCAATTTGTAAAACTATTTTGTACCGATTGTCAAAATTAAGATGTGAGAAGTAATATATATATACATATTTTAGTACAGTACGTGGGGTAAGGGTTCGAATTTACAACTTCTTGATTGGAGATATGTGTCAATTACCACTAAACTATGCTCGATTTGACATGCGAGAAGTAATAGTTAAGGCTTAAATATGATTTTTGATATTGAATTTAAATGTTTATTTTATATTTTGGTGGTATACTTTCATATTTATACTTTATTGTCTGAAAAGTTCAAAATATAAAAATACAATTAAAGTCGATATGAACATAGCTCAACAGTTTAACATAAGTATTCTTTAAGTTATAAAAAGTTCAAATAATCTCACCCAATATAGTACAACAAAATAATTGAATAATTTTGTATCTTTATGGATTTCCACTCTCAAGAAGAGTTGTCAAAAAAAATGATATAATGTTAGATCTATGTTGATTTTGAATTGCGCATGACTTAATATAATGTCACAACCATACAATTATAATGGATTGACTGTTAGTAAAAAAAAAAAAACTTTGTTATAAAGTTATTTCATTTGATTTATTTTTAATATATAGAATTCCTATAGTAAATTTTTCTTTTTTAAAAGTCAAATTTAATGCCAGTCACGTGGGGTTAATAATAGAACTTCACATTCTCTCAAGCCCTATGTGGCATATATATTATATAATTGTAATTATTAAGAGACTTTTTCTTTATGGGGATTCTATTTCATGTGATTGCCAAGCTTTATCCTACTCATCCATGAGAAGAGGGGTCAGCTCATCATGTTCATTTTCATGGCCTTCTCCAAATGGGCGCTTTAA